TCACAGTTGCTCTTTGCTGTATGACACTGTGCTCTTGGAGAGATTCTGAAGAGAAGTTGCAGAGATTGGTGGATGAATTTGGTAGGGTGTGCAAAAGAAGAAAATTAAAAGTGAATACAGGAAAGAGTAAGATTATGAGATAACAAAAAGATTAGGTGATGAAAGATTGGATATCAGATTGGAGGGAGAGAGTATGGAGGAGGTGAATGTATTCAGATATTTGGGAGTGGACGTGTCAGCGGATGGTCTATGAAAGATGAGGTAAATCATAGAATTGATGAGGGGAAAAGGGTGAGTGGTGCACTTAGGAGTCTGTGGAGACAAAGAACTTTGTCCTTGGAGGCAAAGAGGGAATGTAGAGAGTATAGTTTTACCAACGCTCTTATTGGGTGTGAAGCGTGGGTGATGAATGTTGCAGCGAGGAGAAGGCTGGAGGCAGTGGGAGATGTCATGTCTGAGGGCAATGTGTGGTGTGAATATAATGCAGAGAATACGTAGTTTGGAAGTTAGGAGGAGGTGCGGGATTACCAAAACTGTTGTCGAGAGGGCTAGAGGTGGTTCAGACATGTAGAGAGAATGGAGCGAGACAGAATGACTTCAAGAGTGTATCAGTCTGTAGTGGAAGGAAGGCGGGGTAGGGGTCGGCCTTGGAAAGGTTGGAGGGAGGGGTAAAGGAGGTTTTTGTGTGCGAGGGGCTTGGACTTCCAGCAGGCATGCGTGAGCGTGTTTGATAGGAGTGAATGGAGACAAATGGTTTTTTAATACTTGAACTGCTGTTGGAGTGTGAGCAAAGTAACATTTATGAAGGGGTTCAGGGAAACCGGCAGGCCGGACTTGAGTCCTGGAGATGGGAAGTACAGTGCCTGCACTCTGAAGGAGGGGTGTTAATGTTGCAGTTTAAAAACTGTAGTGTAAAGCACCCTTCTGGCAAGACAGTGATGGAGTGAATGATGGTGAAAGTTTTTCTTTTTCGGGCCACCCTGCCTTGGTGGGAATCGGCCAGTGTGATAATAATACAAAAAATAACTAAGCTGATGAGTAAGATGCATGTGCATCAGTTAGGTATCTTTATTGTTGAAACATTTTGCCTAGACAGTAGGCTTCTTCAGTCAAATACAAAGATAGCAGGTGATGTGATCGGTCCCTCAGATACTGCAACACAGTAGTATCTTGGTACAGAGGACATCTTCCGCACTTCATCGTTTAACTAATAGTTATGAGTGCGAATGGTTGGAGTGCAGAGGGACCTGTCTAGCATAGGCCAGTAGGCTTGCTACAGTGCTCCTCAACTCTTGCCTTCTTGCTTCTACTAGTGAATCCTGTCTCCTGCAACTTCAAGTTCTTCCTCACCTTCATCAGTATTTAAGACTCCATTCTCATGCTTCACCTTTATATTGTTCCAGACCATGGAACTGAACTTTTCTCTAGGCTGAGAGACTGACCACCTTAAATACTATTTCTCCACGATTATGAACTCATTACTTTCTTCATTTCACTACTACACCTGCTGCATCTGTATTGACTGAAGAAGCCTACTATGTAGGCCAAATTTCAACATTATCATACAAAGTTGATGAATAAGACACACATGCAACACTTGGCTTGAGGGAGTGCCCACCTGCCAAGGCTTAGGGATCTTCATTATGCACAATATGCCCATCCTGTGAGTGGTAGTCGAAAGAATTACAGAGGCACATAATAGGGCCAGGAGCTGAGCCACAAAGGTTTCATAGTTAAACAAGTTACAATAGTAGTGAACCACTATATGTTTACATCTGGTTACAATCTCAATAAATTACTTATGCAGACATTAGTTAGGTCTCAAAAATATTACATTATATTTTAGCAAGTTATTTTTGTAAAACGTTTAAGTAGTTAACACTGTTAATTTATCATGATATTCTGCAATTGATGGTTGATGGGTAGGCTCCAGGATGTACATGTTTATAGAGGGGCAACTGATATATCGGATCATTATTTAGTTGTAGCTACAGTTAGAGTAAGAGGTAGATGGGAAAAGAGGAAGGTGGCAACAACAAGTAAGACGGAGGTGAAAGTGTATAAACTAAGGGAGGAGGAAGTTCAGGTGAGATATAAGTGACTATTGGCAGAAAGGTGGGCTAGTGCAAAGATGAGTAGTGGGGGGGTTGAAGAAGATTGGAATAGTTTTAAAAATGCACTATTACAATGTGGGGCAGAAGTTTGTGGTTATAGGAGGGTGAGGGCAGGAGGAAAGAGGAGTGATTGGTGGAATGATGAAGTAAAGGGTGTGATAAAAGAGAGAAAGTTAGCTTATGAGAGGTTTTTACAAAGCAGAAGTGTTATAAGAAGAGCAGAGTATATGGAGAGTAAAAGAAAGGTGAAGAGAGTGGTGAGAGAGTGCAAAAGGAGAGCAGATGATAGAGTGGGAGAGGCACTGTCAAGAAATTTTAATGAAAATAAGAAAAAATTTTGAAGTGAGTTAAACAAGTTAAGAAAGCCTAGGGAAAGTATGGATTTGTCAGTTAAAAACAGAGTAGGGGAATTAGTAGATGGGGAGATGAAGGTATTAGGTAGATGGAGAGAATATTTTGAGGAACTTTTAAATGTTGAGGAAGAAAGGGAGGCGGTAATTTCATGCACTGGCCAGGAAGGTATACCATCTTTTAGGGGGGGTGAAGAAGAGCAGAATGTAAGTGTTGGGGAGGTACGTGAGGCATTACATAGAATGAAAGGGGGTAAAGCAGCTGGAACTGATGGGATCATGACAGAAATGTTAAAAGCAGGGGGTATATAGTTTTGGAGTGGTTGGTACTTATTTTTAAAAAATGTAAAAAAAGGGGGGGAAGGAAACCTAGGGTTTGGGAGGAGAGCATTTTTTGGCCCCCCCTTTTTTAAAAAGGGGAAAAGGGGACCAAAAGAGTTTTGAAAAAAATTATAGAGGAATAATTTTTACTGATTTATACCGGGGAAAAGTGTACGTGGGGTTAAAATTGAAAAAAATTTAAGAGGCAAGACAAATGTAGGATTGCGAATGGCAAGGGGTTTTTCAGAGTGGGGGGGGGAAATGTGTAATAAAGTGTTTACATTGTAGCATATATGTGAACATTTAATTTAAAAAAGGGTTGGGGAAGTTTTTTTTGCTTTTAAAATGGATTTAAAAAAAGGCATATGATAGATTTGGGGGAAAGGGGGGAGAAATTTTTGGGCAGATGTTGAAAGGGTACTGTATATGGAATGGGTGGTAATTTTTCTGAAGCGGTAAAGATTTTTTTAGAGGATAGTGAGGTCGGGTTTTAGGGTGTGTAAAGAGGGGGCAAATCCCTTTCCCGGAAAAAAGTAGGTCTAGACGGGGTTTGGTTAATGTCCCCATGGTTTTTAATATTTTTTAAGGGAATGGGGTTGTAAAAAAAATTTAAATGCTGGGGTGTTGGGAAAGAGGGGGGGGTTTAAAATTTAGGGGGGAATCAAATTTCCCAAAAATGGGAATTGACACAGTTATTTTTTTGCTGTTTGATACTGGGCTTATGGGGTTTTCAAAAAAAAAAATTCCCCGGTTAGTGGAAAAAGTTTGGAAATTTTGTGAAAAGGGGAGAAATTTTGAAAGTAAAACAAAAAAAAGGGGGAAGGGGTGTTGGGGGAAATCAAATGTTTTAGATAAAAAAAAATTTGGGATATAAAATTGGGGGAGGGGGATTTTGGGAAAAAAGGGGATTTTTCAAAATACGGGGGGAGTTGACATGCCCGGGGGGAGGGTTTTAAAATGAAGGAGGGAGGTTAATCATAAAAATTGTGGGGGAAAAAAGGTAAAGTGGTGTTTGAGGTATATGGGGGGAAAAAAAAAACGTATCTTTTGGAGGCAAAAAAGGGAATGTAGGGAAATATAGTATTAAAAACACTCTTATAGGAGGGGAAAAAGCTTGGGGGGGAAAATTTCCCTGCAGCGAGGGGGACGGTTGGGGGGCAGGGGAGATGCCCTGTCAAAGGGCAATGGGGATGTAAATATTACAAAAAATTCGGATGTGAAATTAGGAAAGGTGTGGAGTTAAAAAAATTATTGTAGAGGGCAGAAGGGGGTTTTGAGGTGGTTTGGCATTTAGAGAGAATGGATCAAAGTAGAATGACATGGAAAGAATATAATCTATGGGGAAGGAAAGGGGGGGTTGGGGGTTCCTCGAAAGGGTTGGGGGGGGGGGAAAAAGGATTTTTTGTGGGCGAGGGGCTTGGATTTCCCAGCAAGCGGCTGAGGTGTTGATAGAGGAAGGGTGGTTTTTTGGGAAAATGCGATCTTTGGAGGGAGCAGGGTAATTTTTTATAAAGGGATTCAGGGAAACCGGTTTTTTTTATATATCGGACTTGAGTCCTGGAAAGGGGAAGTAAAATGCCTGCACTTTAAAGGAGGGGTTTGGATTTGGCAGTTTGAGGATATGTTTGTATCTTTTTACGTTATGCTTCTAGACTGTTGTATTCTGAGCACCTCTGCAAAAACAGTGATAATGTGTGAGTGTGGTGAAAGTGTTGAATAATAATGAAAGTATTTTCTTTTTGGGGATTTTCTTTCTTTTTTGGGTCACCAAAAACAGTGATAATGTGTGAGTGTGGTGAAAGTGTTGAATAATAATGAAAGTATTTTCTTTTTGGGGATTTTCTTTCTTTTTTGGGTCACCCTGCCTCGGTGGGAGACGGCCGACTTGTTAAAAAAAAAAAAAAATGCAATTCTATCACAAGTATATTTAAGTGATAAATCAACCAGGCTGTGGTAGCTATGTGGGCCAGCAGGCTGCTAACAGTAATGGCTTGGTCAAACAGGCATTCAACAAGGAAGTTTGGCTTAAGACCTGGTTGCAGGACTTTCACAGGTGGTGGGAGACTGCCAGTGTACATGAAAAAAAACTTAGACATAATATAGGTTGCACATCTTTCAGATAGGATGTCCAGTAATATATTACTGCTCTTAATTATGACTAAGTTGAAGTAAATACAGTACTCTATAATAATTATCTTTAAAAAATTCATTTCAGGCTGCATGTCATAAAGATGGATCAGTGAGCAAAAAAGCAGTGAGCTCCATCCATGATATTGTAAATGCACTGCTAAGCAACCAGACAGAACTGCCACACTTCCACTTCAATGAAGCTCTCTTCAAGCCTTTTGAAAACTTACTGTGTCTTGAACTATGTGATTCAGATGTTCAGGATCAGGTGGGTAGTTCTGTTGACATGTCTAAAATTTACATATACTGTATTTTTGTTTTCATACGTATAATTAGAGCAGCGGGTATAAATATTTGTAAGTGTGTGTTTATTTCAGATTGTAAGTAGTATATGTGAGTTTGTGGAAAGCTGCACTCCTGAAATACGATCAGGATGGCGTCCTCTGTTTGGTGCATTGAGGTGTGTGCGTCCTCCATCAGTTCTTCCAACATCCACAGGTCCCAGCAATACAGGTGAAAAGTCGCATTAAAGTACACATGTGAGAGAACTCTTTGAAATTGCTGTAGCAGTCATTACATTTATATTAAGGTGGCATGTGCAGTTACATCCATAAAAATTATATTTATTATTGTAACATGTTTATGATTTCCTACCATGGCAAAGTGACTAAAATAAAAAAAAAATGCATTCACCATTATTTCCAAACTGTCTTTCCTAAAGTGCACAGACATCATGAGCCAAATGATTCACCAGATTGAAACATCCCTATCCAACTTTGAAAAATGTAGACACTGAACTCAAGTCCATTTAACCAATTTGCCTGAATTCTTCTATGGCTATTACCATTCTAATGCTCCAGCACCACATAAAATCCCAAAAACTTATTGTCTTCACTCTGATCTAACACACTTGCACATTGTTGCTGGGTGCTCAAGCCTTTACCTTTTAAAATCTCTTTCACACCCACCTTCCAACCTTATCTCAGATGTTCTTGGCACTACCTTCAGTCCAGCTTAACTTGCTCCTCCCTCTTCTGCTTCCTGAATTATATCATTCATTCCATCACAATGTCTTCTAATTACTTCACTATTTATTCTCAGCATAATGTCGTAGGTAGTAGGTTGGTAGACAGCAACCACCCAGCGGGGTACCACTGTCCTGCCAAGTGAGTGTGAAACAAAAGCCTGTAATTGTTTTACATGATGGTAGGATTGCTGGTGTCCTTTGTCTCATAAATATGCAAGATTACAGGTATGTCTTGCAACTTCTACTTACACTTAGGTCACACTACACATACATGTACATGTTTATTTATACACACTCATCTGAGTTTTCTTTGATTTTATCTTAATAGTTCTTGGTCTTATTACTTTTCCTTTTATATCCATGGGGAAGTGGAATAAGAATCTTTACTCCGTAAGCCATGCGTGTTGTAAAAGTCAACTAAAATGCAGGAATTTAAAGGGCTAGTAACCCCCTTTTTCCCGTAATAATTACTAAAAAGAATAAGAAGAAGAAAATTGTCAAAGTGGGAAGTCTGAATGTGCGTGGATGTTGTGCAAATGATAAGAAAGGGATGATTGTGGATGTTTTTGAATGAGGGGCTGGATGTCCTGGCTTTAAGTGAAACAAAGCTGAAGAGGGTGGGAGAGTTTCAGTGGAGAGGAATAAAGGGGATTAGGTCAGGGGTTTTTAAATAGAGTTAGTGCTAAAAAAGGGAGTAGCAATAATGTTGAAGGTTAAGTTACGGCAGGAAAAGAGGGATTTTAAAATGATTAATTAAAGGGATTATGTGGGTAAAATAAAGGTTGGAAAAAAAGTGGGTTTTAGTAAGTGTATTGAAACCGGAGAAAGGAGAAGTGTAGAGGAGAGAGAAAATTTTGGAAAAATGTGAGTGAATGCATGTGGAGTTCTAAACCAAAGTGTGAGAGTGATGGGGGTTGGGGGTTTCAACTAAATGGGCAAAAATGTTGTAGAGGGGTATAGGTAAATTTGGGGTGCCAGGGGAAATGAAAAAGGGGGGCCTTTATTGAGCTATGTTGAAGAGGTTTGGTAATAGTATAATATTTTTTTGAAGAAGAGGATAAATAAATATCAAAAAATGTACGCACTTCAGTTCAATTCAAATTTAAGTTTTTTTCTATATTTGGGTTCAATGGGGTTTACAGGTTTTGGGATTTTTTTGGTTTACATGTTTATAAAATACTAAATTTCAGAGGGGGGCCCCTAGGTCTCTAGCAGGCAGGGATTTTGGCAGAAATTAGATTAAATTTTTAACATTAAGTCCCTTTCGATTATAGTATTTTAAAGGGTAAGTGATAAATCAAATTTTGAGTTTAGCATGTGAATCTTTTGTTTGGCACAATACAAGGTGTTATATTTGAGTATCAAGGCAAATTATGACTATTGGATTTATATTTTAAGATTAAATTAGTTTTTGGGTTTATAGTCAAGGGTGAGTGAGGGAAATTTTGAAAACCCCAGGGGTCATCATGTAGTTATTGTCGGGGGGATCAGGGGGTAAGATGTTTTCTAACTGTAGTTTTGAAAAATGTGAATTTGTCTGCAGTTTATAGTTTTTTAGGTAGGGTCTTCCGATTTTAGGTCCTTTGAAATCATTGAATTTTTGCAAAGGGGTTTGTCGAACAGGGGAAAGTCATAGAGTGTTTGTGTTGGTGTTATGCCTGTGGATCCGTCAAATATCAAGAAAGCTTTTTTGGTCAAGGGTTTAAAATTGGGAATTTAAGGGCCTTGATATAGATTTCACGTAGTAAGTGTGGTGTTCTGAAAAGGGAGTAAGTTTAGATCTTAAAGTGGGGGGGGGGGGTGTTGCCAGGGATGGGATTTAGTGATTATTCTTACTGCAGCTCTTTGTTGGGTTATTATTGGCTTTAGGTGTGTTGCTGCAGTTGAACCCCAAGCACAGATAGCATAGGTGAGGTATGGATATGTAAGTGAATGGTATAGTGTGAGAAGGGCAGTTTGCCGTACATAGTATCGTATCTTGGAGAGGATCCCCACCGTTTTGGATACTTTTTATGTTATGTGTTGGATATGGGTGCTGAAATCTAGGTGGTTGTCGAGGTATAGGCCAAGGAATTTGCCCTCATTATGTCTGGCAATTAGAGTGTTGTCGATCTTAATGTTAAGTTGTGCAGCACCTGCTCTGCTACCAAACATAATATAGTAGGTTTTGCCAGTGTTAAGTGTAAGTTTATTGGCTGTCATCCAAGTCAATATTTTGAGCAGCTCCTCATTAGCAATGGTGTTGAGGGTGGCAAGATTAGGTTGGGAGATGACATAAGTTGTGTCGTCAGCAAAGAGAATGGAGTTCAGGTGTTGAGATACGTTTGGAAGATCATTGATGTAAATGAGGAAGAGCAGGGGTCCAAGGACATTTCCCTGCGGAACTCCAGTATCAAGTGGCCATATTGATGAGGCTGTGTCTTTAATGGTGACATACTGATGCCTATTAGAAAGGTAGGATTTAAAATATGCAAGCGCATGGCCTCATATACCATAGTGGTCAAGTTTGTGGAGTAGGATGCCATGGTCTACTGTGTCAAACGCTTTTCTTAGGCCAATAAAAATTCCTAGTGGATATTCCTTATTTTCCAATGCTTTGTAAAGCAGGTCTAGCATTTTTATAATTGCATCATTAGTGCTTTTATTTTTCCTGAATCCAAATTGGCAGGGGGTTGAGTATGTTTTGTGACGTTATAAATGAATATAGTCTCCTGTGTATGAGTTTCTCGAAGATTTTGGATAGCAATGGTAAGTTTGATATTGGCCTATAGTTGTTTATGTCTGTAGGGTCACCACCTTTATGTATTGGTGTAACCCTTGCTGTCTTGAGTAGTGTCGGGAAAGTGCGAGTTTCTAGTGACTTGTTAAAAAGTAATGTAATAGCATGCGAAATGACATGGGCCGCTCGCTTGTACAATAATGGTGGGACGTGAGACAGATTCCCCGAGTTATTTTTAAGTGACTTTATTATCGCGGTGACTTCCGTGGGCTCAGTTGGTACAAGATAGAAGGAATATGGGAAATTCCCATCTAGGTAGTTCCCGGCACGGGCATTGGTACGTGGGATTTTACTGGCGAGATTAGATCCTATGTTTGAGAAGAAGTCGTTTATCTTGTTAGCTGTATCAGTGGGATGCAGTGGCGTTTCATGAGGTTTAGTCAGAGCAATATTCTTGGTTTTTTTCAGTTTGTGGGTCCCCAGAATCTGGGAAAGTGTTTTCCAGGTCTTTTTTATATCTCCTCTTGTATCAGTGAATCTGCTGGAGTAGTACATTTGTTTGGCTTTCTTTATTAATTTGGTGATAACTGTTGAATATTGTTTAAGAATATCTTTGTGTATTAAGCCCTGTCTATATTGCTTTTCATATTGGTGTTTCTTATCAATGGTTTTCAGAATTGTGCTGGTTAGCCATGGGCAACCAAGCTGTTTATTCGTGATCTGTTTCGTTTTTATAGGACAATGTTTGTTGTATAGTCTAAGTATTTTGTTAAGAAAAATGTCTGTCCAATCATCAATACCATTGGCATTGGAGAATTCTGTAGGCCAGTCAACAGTCTCTAGGTCTTCTGCGAAATTCCTTATTGAGGCCTCGTCATGGAGTCTAAATGAAACTTTGTTGTATTCGAGTGGTTGCTTACTAATGTTTGCTAAGAGGAAGGTTGGGTAGTGGTCAGTAGTGCTGTCTGTGATTATACCTGATTTAAGGGGGGCTAGTATATTGGTCCATATGTGGTCTGTTATGGTTGCACTTGTCTCAAGTCAGCCTGGTTGGTTTAGTTATTGTTGGTATGAGAAGTGCGTTGTTTATATTGTTGATGAAATCAGTTACAGTCTGATCATCTAGTAGGCCAAGGTTGATATTGAAGTCTCCAGCTAAGAGAAGGTGGTGCTTGTTCATTTGTCTGTTTGTTATTAGTGACTTTAGATTCTCACTGAAGTTTGGGATGTTTGTGTGGGGTATCCGGTATATGGGTATATGGCACCGACTGTTATAGACGTCTTGAGGTTTTTTACAGTAAAATTAGCAAAAATGCATTCCCCATATTCATCACTAAAGCAATTAGTGCTAATACAAGATAGTTGGTTAGAGTAATAGATTGCAGTACCACCCCCAACTTGGTATGGTCTGCAGTTGTGGATTGCTGTGTATCCTGGTAGTGGGTAGATATCAATTGTGTCCTGCTTAAGCCAGGTATCAGTAAGAATAATGCAGGAGAAGGGTGTCTTTAGTGACTCAAGGAGTGCCAGGAGGTCATCATAGTGTTTGCTAAAGGACCTGATGTTGTAGTTAAGAACTGATAGATTTTGAGCAGTGTTCAGGATAGTGCTGGCTTGTGATGCTGTGCAATAAAGGCAGTTACTTTCCAATAAGTTTTGATTGTGTGTTAGATTAAGGAGGTTTAGATCAGGGTCAATGTGATCATTCATCTTTTAGGTTTAAATAGTGGTTGTTTATATCCTGTATTATGTGGTGAGTTCTTATAC